AGGTCGTGATGATGTGACACACATGCTCCGGATGAAGTGTGGTCCTTGAAAATCTGCGTGAAAACCTGGCCTCATTCACAAAACATAACAATGGAGAGCTATGCACATATGTTGCAACTAGACACAGCCGCCATGTCCGGCGGCGTGGGAGGAGAAGTCTGGTGGGTGGCGTATTGTGAATAACATCCCGCTGAATGGAGACTGATTGCCCTGCACACCTTGCATGGCTTGCGGTCACATACACTATCGTGAGAGACACAGCGAGCTGTCCCCTTGAAGCCAGAACTGGATTTTGTGTAATATCACGTCAAATATATCTACAATGTTATGTAGCATTTCACCAAACAATCGTACTTGTTATGTAATATTACGTCAAATATATATGTGATGTAAGATCGTTGACAAGAAACATCGTGTACAAGAACGTTCATGTCTGTAAACCATAACACCAAAACGCATCCGATACTTTGCACGAGCCACACGCAGTATCGCCGCAGACGTGCGTATGGTGTGATTCCTGATTATTTTACACTTTCAAAGAAGGTCGATTATTCTCTGTGGACCATTATTTCTGACATTCTTGTTGATTCTGCTTAACATTCAGTTGTGGTTTACTTAATTTCATCCATTGTTTGTGCGTAGACAATCGATGCGGCGTCTGCAACGTGCGCAGAGTCTACGGACTGGTAACTGGCAGACGTCAGCATCCAGTGGCCAATACGTTGAATGTGTCATAGTCTGTGATTAGCAGACTTTGGAACGGGTACCAACAAACAAAACCAAAATGTCGCGAAGGACCCCATTCAGGCCTCCTAGCTCAATGACAGGAGTATAGGATCAATTTACGCGAAACCAAGCTCTACGTGAGTGAGTATGGTTTTACGCCACTTGCAGCTATATTCCAGCAATATCACGGCGGGGTACACCATATTGTACCCATGGGGGAAATCGGCGTGACTAGCGAACACTTTAACCACTGGGCTACCCCCAACTCAAACGGCGAATCAAATTTCTGCAAACCTTCATCAGGCTTCTGGAGTACGAGTTACGGGAAACACGATTAAAAGGCGTGTCAATGCATGTCATCTCCGTGCTCGACGGCACGTGTTGTGCCGCCCCTTACACATTTTCACATTGCCAACAGACGTCAATGGTGTGCACGACGTCGACACTTGGGTAATCGTTGCTGGTCATGTGTCATGTTTTCAGATGAGTCCCGATTCACTTTGTATTTCCTTTGTAGGCGTGGTCGCATCTGGCGACGTCCAAATGAACGCCAAACCAATGTCAATCTGAGGCCTCATGACAAATGTGGCGGTGGATCGGCTATGGTGTGGGGTGGCATCAGTATTCCATAGAATGTCATGGCCAGCAATGAGCCCAGACCTTTTCCCCATTGAACACGTCTGGGACATGATAGGGAGACGTGTGCGTTAACGTCATAGGCCGCCGACCACGTTGGCTGAACTTGGCCAGGCGCTGCCAGAGGAGTGGGTCAGACTCCCTTTAATCGCCATCGGGAGACTCATACGCAGTGTGCCTCGACGAGTGAATGATTGCTTGACAAACCGTGGCCGTATTACCTCACTACTGATCCAAGAGCGTCAAGTTCGAAATTTTCCATCTTACCTTTACGTCCTTCAAGATCATTGGCGGTCATCACATCTACTGTCTTACCTCACTGCTTGAAATGCGTTCCCAGTGCTTTCATTATTATCTTACAACTATTACTTGAGCCAATATCGTTTACAATTTTGGAACTTTAATTTATTTCCGTTTATCCCCCCCCCACCCCACCCCTAACATCACATCAACTATGGTGTCTATATCATGTTACATCACATCAACTATGGTGTATATATCATGTAACATCATATCAACTATGGTGTCTATATCATGTTACATCACATCAACTATGGTGTATATATCATGTAACATCACATCAACTATGGTGTATATATCATGTAACATCACATCAACTATGGTGTATATAGTATGTTACATCACATCAACTATGGTGTATATATCATGTAACATCACATCAACTATTGTGTATATATCATGTAACATCACATCAACTATGGGGTATATATCATGTTACATCACATCAACTATGGTGTATATATCATGTAACATCACATCAACTATTGTGTATATATCATGTAACATCACATCAACTATGGTGTATATATCATGTTACATCACATCAACTATGGTGTATATATTATGTATCATCACATCAACTATGGTGTATATATCATGTAACATCACATCAACTATGGTGTATATATCATGTAACATCACATCAACTATGGTGTATATATCATGTAACATCACATTAACTATGGTGTATATATCAAGTTACATCACATCAACTATGGTGTATATATCATGTAACATCACATCAACTATGGTGTATATATCATGTAACATCACATCAACTATGGTGTATATATCATGTAACATCACATCAACTATGGTGTATATATCATGTAACATCACATCAACTATGGTGTATATATCATGTAACATCACATCAACTATGGTGTATATATCATGTAACATCACATCAACTATGGTGTATATATCATGTAACATCACATCAACTATGGTGTATATAGATATGACTACACGAGTGTCTGTCAGATACCATTGATCTTACAACGAGTTGTTTTGAAAACGTATCTAACGAGCGAAAGCGAGTTAGATACTCTTTGTAACAACGAGTTGTAAGATCAATGGTAATCTTACACACCCTAAAATCGCACCTTTTTAGCATCGAACCGATGCATTTTGTCTATTCTCATGATTGCAGTAGCGCATTAATACAAAACACCACTGTCATAAGTGACGTCATCCTATGTACTGCTTTCTACTCATAAATAATGTGACCCTACACAAAAAGGTTTCCGCCATATCTGTGGATTATCAAGCGATGATGATAGTGCAAACTAGACAAAAAAAAACAAAGGACACGCTGGGTGCCGAGTTAAAAGTTTACACCTCAAAGAAATTACCAAATATGTACAACAATGTTTACTTCCGTATGACATGACTACCGGTGACCGACTTTTTACAAAATGGCGTGTTCACTGACAACAGTACGCGGGATTTCCAGTTGAGGATTTTCGTTAATTGAGTGAATGAGTGAGTTGGGTTCAACGCCGCTTTTAACAGTATTCCAGTTATAACGCGGCGTGTCGGCTTAATGTGGGAGGAAAGCCCGAACTGATGCAGGTCTCAGACGTTTACCCCTTTGGTGAAACCCACGAGCACGGGTATGGTGCTGACAAACCTAGAAACATAATCGGGGCGAGCCGGGATTCGAACCTACAATCATAGGTTTCTGGCGAGCCCAAGGGACGCAACTCTTCACAGCGATTCGCGGCGCCTTAGACGACTGGGCCACCTGTGCCCCCTCGTTGATTGTGGGATCATTTGCACATAAATGTGTCACGTAAGTAATGAGAAACAGTCTGACAATCTGCGTACTGTTATTCGTTTAACATATTTTCCAATGTAACAAAGAGAATTAGTCAGAAATGCAGATAATTACCGTCGTCGTTGAGTGTGATTTAGCGTCAGTCATGGCGTCACACAGGACGGAAACTTTTACAGCTTCTGTTGAATTTACCACATCATTGTAATGCATATTTAAGTAATTCCATAATTAGTGCAACGATACTCATTCCATGAAAATTCTCAAACGCGTGATCGAGCCAATGTATGCAACAATTAGATGAAAGTACCTCTACCACAGTGTAAAATCTGAATTTTGCTTCGTTTATATTTCAGCAAGTACAGTTTTCCGAGCACAGTTTTCGTTTCCACACCTAATTTATTTCGCATGATTTCATCTAGATAATTTGCATTGGTGACAAAGACCATTTATCATTTGTTTCTAAAATGGATTAGGAATTAAGGGATGCATGTATAGCAGCTAAGTTAGAAATATACCTGATCGAATAGGCGTCTCATAATCGGCATTTTGTAAACACAATCCAATATGACGGAACGTACACTTCGGTGTTCGTGTATGCGTATTTCTAAGAATTTCTAAACGAATCTAGACTTGTCAGCGACGTTTCAGAATTATCATTAGTTATTTTAAACTAGTGATCGCTAATATGCTATTGTTCTACTTTAGTTATTAGAGTAAATATCCGATGTTTAGATTTCTAAACAGACAGTAAAAAACGCCGTGAATTTTGATTTGGCGAGATTTACAATGTACCTAATTTACAGAAGTCACTTTCAGTAATTGTGCTTTGCCTAAAATGACAGTAATGATTAACAGAAGGTGAAATTCAAAACTGTGACGTGTATTAGTTTGCGTGATGTATTTTGAATTTTATTCGATTTCGAAGTGAGGGTTGAAGAGGAGGGACATATGTGTCGCTGTGGCATCCAGGGGGTTTACACTCTGAAAAACGATAATGTTGACATAACAACAGATAATGTAACTGATAATAATAACAAACAAACTCGCAGACGAGGACGAGCTGGTTTATATTTATTTTTAATTACACGGTTCTGTTGTTCAATACAGACGTAGGTGAACATTCGACTGAAGCACGAGCAACTTATGAATGACTTACACTCAGGAAAGTAGTCCGTCATCATCTGACCTCATCACCATGGAGTAGCCAATCACGGGCCTGGAATTCGATGTCACACATATGTTAGATACCAGTTATCTCAAATGGGTTTCTCACCCACAGCTGTGAAAGAAATAGTATGTAACATCACATCAACTATGGTGTATATATTATTTAACATCGCGTCAAATATATCGTATATGCGCATCATATATAGTTCTATGAAGCGCCGTTTTACTGTTTAGTCCTGATTTTATGATATCAATAATCCATTTTTGGATTTTTCTTGATCGCATATGTGAAATCAGTAATAGAATTTGTGATATCATAAAATAGGGAATAAATAGTAAAATGGCGCTTATATAGTTCCAGCTTATTCGTTATATATTTTTCCTATTCCAGGTTCCGTCGCTGCCTGAAGAGGTCCAAGTCCTCCACAGCCAAACTGGTGGGTCAGCTCTTCTTCAATATCCTCAACCCGCAGTGCTTCAAGTTCACAAAGAAGAGAGCCTGTCTCACACGGACCTGGCTGGGCACGTGCCACAAGTACGGCAAGGGAAAGTCGGCGTTGCCACGTGACTCCATGGGTTTCTGAAGACGTTGTGACGTCAGAAGTGACGTCATATGTGAACTCTGAAGTGATGCACGTGTGGTAGAGAGCTTCCTCGCGGGGACGCTGCACAACCCATCGCTCCACAGCCACCATGTGTAATGTTGTAGACACATCCCCCATGTGAATTGCCCCTACATTTCTAGACAGCTTTGGAGAAGATAAAAGTATGCAGCGTGAGACGCGGGCACTGGCGAAACAGTATCCGACTTTGTTCCGGGGTGAGGTAGTGAGGTAGACATGCCCAGTGTTGTAGAAGGTGGCGTGGAGAGAATAATGTGGACAACGGGCACTAGTGTGACATTTCGTCAGTGATTTTATTGACTAGCGTTCTGCTCCCCCAGCTAACTAAAGCTGCCTGTCTTCATTAACTCACGATGTACACACCGGATCTGTATATAGGCGGATGTCGTTAATGTTTTAGCTTTAAACTGTGTTCCTTCTTGAGCGAGTGGATCTTCTCACAGCATAGTGAATTTATGAAGTGTTTATAGACGCACGCGCTTTAAGAATGATTTTTAAATCCCATGGCCCGTTTCAACTGAAGCGAACAAATACATCCATGTAGAACATTCCCTTGCTTGCTGCAGGCCAGATCGTGCGCCCCTCTAACGAAACCAAAGATGAACCAACAGGGTAGACTGAAGTGACACAAGGTGTCTTTTCATGACAACACTACATGCCCCTAGAAATATCGGTATTTGTACAGACCACACGTGTCCTATGACTTCTTTTTTCAGCTGTAATGGAGGGTGATGTGTCTTGGGAAATAATCAGCTTCACATCCTAGCTCTGCTCAGCATCACCGCTACCCGATCTTTCCGGCTACTCAGAGTGTCATCAGTTCCCGAACATTCTCCACAATCGGACCACGTGACCCTGTAGATGTCATCGGACGCTGACTGTGCGGGACACGGTGGGTTCTAGGTGGTCAATGGAGACGCTATTAAATGTTTAGGAACGAGCTATGTCAAGCATAAACTGTCAGAGAGAAATACAAATCAGAGATACGAAATAACTGTTTCCTTTGAACTACTTATAGGTGATAAACTTCCTAATAATGCTTCATAGATGGTGCATTATGGGATGTTATATGTCTTAATAATACTTCACAGATGATGCATTATGGGATGTTATGTTTCCTAATAATGCTACAAAAATGATGCATTATAGGATGTTATATTTAAGAATAAACAACGAGTTGGAGTTGTTAATTTCTTATTTGAGATATCAACACCATGTACAGCCTCTGGGAGGATGTCAGTAAAACGTTTTCGCTTTAAAGATATTTACCCGTATTTAAGTAACGATGACTCTTTCAATACAATCCCACCTCGGCAATGTCGGACGATTCCATTTCATGAACAGGAGGGCTAAGTTTGGTATTTCACGGATGTCCTCACAATGTTCACAATGTTGTGTGGCTAATAGTGTATGTGACAAGTGTGTATTTAACACGTGTGTGTATGTATGTGACGTGTGTGTGTGAGAGACGTAGTGTATGTGACACGTGTGTGGGGTGTGTGTGTGTGTGTGTGTGTGTGTGTGTGTGTATGTGACGAGTGTGTGTATTTAACACGTGTGTGAGACGTAGTGTATGTGACACGTGTGTGTGTGTGTGTGTGGTGTGTGTGTGTGTGTGTATGTGACGAGTGTGTGTATTTAACACGTGTGTGTGAGACGTAGTGTATGTGACACGTGTGTGTGTGTGTGTGTGTGTGTGTATGTGACGAGTGTGTGTGTGTGTGTGTATGTGGCGAGTGTGTGTATTTAACACGTGTGTGTGTGTGAGAGAGAGAGACACTTGTGTGTATATGACAAGTGACAAGTTTATCTCACTCCTCACTGCGGTGGTTGACCTCGATCCGTGTAAGCACTCTGGGCGTACTGGGAGAAGGTTTGATAGCTGGAGAGAGCAGAGATCAGCCATGTAGCTATTACCAAACAATGTCAATGTTTTCACTTGATTCTTGGGCGAACACGATGTGCCAGCTGAGTGAAAGCCGAGTTTGTTTAAGGAATACACACGTGCAGGCCGAGCTCCCGTCCGTGCCTGCCGGGGAACATTAGCAGTGTTGTAATAAGAAGGTGATATTTATACAAACGCGCGGGAAGTATTTCTTTCCCGATGTACAATATGAAGATAACTGGTGATATTTACTGAGCGAATCACTAGATCAAATAACCGGGGAAGCTTGTTAAGGGTTAGTTTTATGAATGAGCTCAGGTTGTCGGACGGGGGTCAGTTGGGTTGAACGGAAGCCGCGTGTTTCACGACTCGGTTCGTACTCGGTTATTGCAACTTCCGATTTGTCACTGCATTGCATGCTGGTCCTCTTGGAATCTCAGTTGGAAGTTTCCAAATTGTAGATTTTCGTGTAGGGTGTGGCGAGATTCACGCGTGTGGCGCGTCTGGCGTGTGCTAAAAGTGACGTCACAATACCTGTGCGCACACGTGGAACGCGTTAGTAACGGAAACATCTAGAAACGGCTGTGATGCCTGGAAATGGATCGGTTTGCTAACGGAATGAGGGCGACTGTGACTTGTGTGTGTAGACAGTCTAGACAAATATACACACTTGGGCGGCGTGAACACAAGGATGGGGACGGGCAGGGTTGTTGTAATTGTTTTATTATTGTTTATTGTTGTGCATACACCGAGGAGGATATAGGCATTGTGTTGTAGCAGTAGAGTTGCCTCCTGGCTCAAACTTCACACAAACAGCGGTCTTCGATCAAAGGCGTCTGCATAGTTATTTAGAAACCAGCTGTGTTGTTAATATTGGAGACTCTCTGTGACGAGTGAGTGAGTATGGTTTTACGCCGCTTTTAGCAATATTCCAGCAATGTATGGGGAATCGAACCCGAGTGTCGGTGTGACGAGCGAATGAGCTCAGGTTGTCGAACGGGGTCAGCTGGGTTGAACGGAAGCCGCGTGTTTCACGACTCGGTTCGTACTTGGTTATTGCAACTTATATATGGGGAATCGAACCCGGGTCTTCGGCGTGACGAGCGAATGCTTTAACCACTAGACGGGATGGGAAGAAGGACGGGGGGAATGGCGGGAGGTGACGTTGAGTGAGTGAGTTGGGTTTAACGCTGCTTTGAACAACATTTCAGTTACATCAAGCAAAGGCGTACATAGATGTCCGTCTTTCTATCATGTTAGTGTAAGAAGAATGGATGAATGAATGTCCTCGGACGTTTACCAGTTTAGGGTGGGTGCTGGCAAACCTAGACATATCATCAGGGCGTATTGAATGTTTGAACCCAATCACAGGTTTCTGACACACCTAAGGGACGCAACTGGTGGACGGGGACTGGTTCACCCGTGCCACCACGTGACTACGAGGGCAGACGTGAACGACGCATGAGCAGAAGGGAGATAAGTGGTGGAATTGACGTGAATGTGAGGGCGGTGTAGGGGATGAATTGTTCTAGAGTTTTAGCACCTGATAGTGTACGTTCACACAGTCAGATTGATGGTGACGGAGGTCAGATGCACATTGGCGACTGCCAACGTTATCCATGGTCTACAGCGATTTGTGCCACCTGATTTGTCGCGGATGTCTAGCATTTTGGGATATATGTGCCTTCGTGCCCGGGTTTCCCACTGTGCAGTACATGCGTATGACTGTCCACAGTATTCGTGTATTCTGAGGCATTTCGTTAAACATCCGCCGCAGAAATACGAAGACGAGGTTGCAAACTAGAATGTAATTTGTTATTCCGAGCATATTTCGGGGGAAAATACTTGACTTTTAAAGGTGAGGTGAGGTGAAATGGGGTTTAACGTGGCGTCCAAGATATTGCACTTATATAGCAACGTGCATGCACGTGTGTGTATATGGCTGCTTGTACAAGTCCGGACTGATGCCGACTTATAGTGCTAGCCCACTGAAATACCATGCCGCGATTTCACATGAATACCCCACTCAGACACAGTATACTGACTCCGAGGCAACCAGTCCTTGTTTTAGCCCCATAAAGCCGAGCACCAGACAGGGTAACAACAAGCACCGCCTTTTAACGTCATTTGGTATGACGCGGCCGGGGATCGAACCCTGGACCTTCTGTTCTCCTGGTGGATGCTCTACCACTAGGCCACAGAGGCGGTCTGACTTTTAAAGATTGCACGAAGAAACAAACACCGAGACAAGAACCACAGTACTCCGTGAAACGCTCAGCAAGCGGTGTACTCCATAGGCTTTGATGTGGTCCAAATCATTCTTTATTTTCTTTTCGGAGAAAACAATTCTCGTATGAATATCACACCTAGTTTTAAAAGCATCAATCCAGGGCTGAACTCGCTGCGTCTAATTGGGAGCAGGCTAGGGCGTGTGGTGGTGCCCCGGTGCTAATTATTGTCCACACGTTTGTGGAAATGTATATCAATGATACTGCTACTGGACTGGAGCAGTGTTCTACCTCATTGTGAAAAAAAAATGTTCAGTGCTTCGAAAAGATCGTTGTAATGTAGAATAGGAGACGAATCTGTGTGACGTGTTGTTAGGGATAGTGTGACATATTGTCTTGTACATTACATAGAGATAGGGTTAGTGTGACATATTGTCTTGTACATTACATAGGGTTAGGGTTAGTGTGACATATTGTCTTTTACATCATTTCCCCCGTTGTGGAAAATAGCTTAGCCTGATGCCAATAATTCCAGATGTCCAAATAGTGATTCAATAAATTATTGTCCTCATACATGTGTTGGCGTCATTAAAGCAGCAGTTCGCCATACCATCATGCAATTATATAAGACACACACTTCACAGGTCATGAAGGAAACACACCTTACATCACAGGTCATGAAGGAACAAACCTTACATCACAGGTCATGAAGGAACAAACCTTACATCACAGGTAATGAAGGAACACCCCTTACATAACAGGTCATGAAGGAAACACACCTTACATCTCAGGTCATGAAGGAAACACACCTTACACGACAAGTCATGAAGGAACACACCTTACATCACAGGTCATGAAGGAAACACACCTTACATCACAGGTCATGAAGGAACACACCTTACATCACAGGTCATGAAGGAAACACACCTCACATAACAGGTCATGAAGGAACACACCTTACATCACAGGTCATGAAGAAACACACCTCACATAACAGGTCATGAAGGAAACAAACCTCACATAACAGTTCATAAAGGAACATACCTCACCTCACAGGTCATGAAGGAAACACACCTTACATAACAGGTCATGAAGGAATACACCTTACATCACAGGTCATGAAGGAAACACACCTTACATCACAGGTCATGAAGGAAACACGACTTACATCACAGGTAATGAAGGAACACACCTTACATCACAGGTCATGAAGGAACACACCTCACATCACAGGTCATGAAGGAATGTCTTGTACATTACATAGGGTTAGGGTTAGTGTGACATATTGTCTCTTAAATCATTTCCCCCTTTGTGGAAAATAGCTTAGCCTGATGCCAATAATTCCAGATGTCCAAATAGTGATTCAATAAATTATTGTCCTCATACACGTGTTGGCGTTATTAAAGCAGCAGTTCGCCATACCATCATGCAATTATATAAGACACACACTTCACAGGTCATGAAGGAAACACACCTTACATCACAGGTCATGAAGGAACAAACCTTACATCACAGGTCATGAAGGAACACACCTTACATCATAGGTCATGAAGGAACAAACCTTACATCACAGGTCATGAAGGAACACACCTTACATCACAGGTCATGAAGGAACACACCTTACATCACAGGTCATGAAGGAACACACCTTACATAACAGGTCATGAAGGAAACACACCTTACATCTCAGGTCATGAAGGAAACACACCTTACATCACAGGTCATGAAGGAACAAACCTTACATCACAGGTCATGAAGGAAACACACCTTACATCACAAGTTATGAAGGAACACACCTTACATCACAGGTCATGAAGGAACACACCTTACATCACAGGTCATGAAGGAAACACACCTTACATCACAGGTCATGAAGGAACACACCTTACATCACAGGTCATGAAGAAACACTCCTCACATAACAGGTCATGAAGGAAACAAACCTCACATAACAGTTCATGAAGGAACACACCTTACATCACAGGTCATGAAGGAAACACACCTCACATCACAGTTCATGAAGGAACATACCTTACATCACAGGTCATGAAGGAAACACACCTTACATC